AGAGTCCGAACGACATCACCAAGCATTTGTAGGAGCCGTATCTGGTACGGAACGCCGTCTTGTGGATCGAGTTGTCCGCCATCTTGATCTGCCAGTAACCCGATGTCAGAATGTTATTCTCTAGCCTGTAGTGGGGTGCTCTATAGCGAGTACAACCCCTTAGGGTTTCCTATATGTATCCTGCTGCTTTCTAGTGAACACCCTCTTTTGCCTAAACTGTTTCTTGCCTAGCTAGGACTTACCTAGCTATGGCTCCTAACTCTACCTACTATCTTCACATGGAATCAGAGCACATACGCTCCTGGCCTGTGGGCCCTCCTACTGCTTCCGCTGCCCTACGCTGTGTCGCGCGCCCCGTGGTGCGCGACCTCTTATTTTTCATCCCGCCGCGCGCTCGGGGCGCGCGGCGGTTTTCTGCCCGCCGTGCGCCCCGAGGCGCGCGGCGGTTTACTGCTGTGGGGGAGCCAGCGCGCGCCCCACCCGTCCGTCGCGGAGCCCTGGGGAGCACGCGCGCCCCCCCGCCCTGCCCGTCGCGGCGCGCTGGGGAGCCCGCGAGCCCCCCGTCCGTCCGTCGCGACGCCCTCGGGAGCCCGCGAGCGCCCCGCCCATCGGTCGCGACGCACTGGGGAGCCAGCGGGCGCCCTGCGTGGTCGTCGCGACGTCCTGGGGAGGCCGCGCGCGCCCCGTCAGCTCGTCGCGGCGCCCTCGGGAGGCCGCGCGCGCCCCGCCAGGCCGTCGCGACGCCCTGGGGAGCCGCGCGCGCGTCCCTCCCGCCCGTCCGTCGCGGCGCCCAGGGGAGCAGCGCGCGCCACGCCCCTTCCCTCGCCCCACCCGTCCGTTCTGGCGCCCTAGAGGCGCGCGCCTCCCCCCCCCTCTCCGTCCCCTACGCTCCTGCCCCTATCCCACCCGTTTTAGGGTTTGTGGGTGAGGAGTGTGGGGGTGGTGGTTGTGGGGGTGTCCGTTGTGCGCGCCGTGCCCTTCTCCTCCTCCTCCTTTGTCTCCCACTGCTGCAGCTGTCGCTGAGGGGGGTGGATGAGTGGGAGACTGGGGTTTAGGGTTTTAGGGGGGTGCGTGGGAGTGGAGCTAGGGTTTGAGCAGTGGGTGTGTGTCGAGGGTGTGGGGCAGTTGGAGGAGGTTGTGTGGAGGTACCTGTCGTGTCGCTTGCAGCGCCTGTAGTCCGTCGCCCTTGCTTCGGTAGCCAGTGAGCCTGCTGCACCAGTCGCCAGTGGGTCCGTTGCTCCTGCCGCTCTTCTATAGCCGCCGAGCCAGTTACTCCAGTAGTCCGTCGCCCTTGCTTCGGTAGCCTCTGAGTCAGCCGCTCCTGTGCCCGTGCCTCTGCAGCTTCAGTCGTTGCCTCCCATCTTCTCTACCTCCACAGCTCCTCCTCCTCCTCACTTGCCCGCTGTGATTAGCTCTAGCTTTGCTTACCTTTGTGAACTCCTGCTCTATACCTGCTTGCTCATTGTACTGATTACACCCCACTTTGGCTATGGGGGTGTGTCAGAATGTTATCCTCTAGCCTGTAGTGGGGTGCTCTATAGCGAGTACAACCCATCTAGGGTTTGCTATATGTATCCTCATTGCTGCTAGTGAAAACCCTCTCTCTTGCCTAGCTAGGACTTACCTAGCTATGGCTCCTAACTCTACCTACTATCTTCACACCCGACCGTAGGTCCAGCTTCGAAAAGAGTGTTGCACCACGCAGTTGGTCCAGTAGGTCGTCTATGCGCGGTATGGGATATTTGCTTTTTACTGTCTGCTTGTTCAGTGCGCGGTAGTCGATGCACATCCGTAGGGCGAGGTGGACCGTAGGGCGAGGTGGATGCGCGGATCAGTTGTCTGTCCAGTAGATATTCTATCTGCTTCTTCATATCCGTTAGTTCGGTCGGACTCAGTCGGTATGGTGCACGTGAGACGGGTTTCGCACCTGGTTCCTCCACGATCTCGTGCTCATGGGTGCGTGCTGGAGGTACGCCTGCGGGTAGGTCGTCGGGCATTATATCCTTGTACTGCTCCAAGACCTCCTTTACTGCTGTAGGCAGCTCTGTGTTCTGCTTCTCCTCTGCTGCTGCCATAACCAGTGCTAGGTAACCCGTGTTACTCTCGTTCACCGTCTGTTCGAACCGTGCCAGTGTCGTTTCAGGAACGCTCCCTGTATCCGTCCACCTTCGTAGCTCCACTCTTTCTCGTTGTTATAGATGCACGCCTTCCTGTTGACCCAGTTGATCTCGGGGTTGAACCGCTTCAAGAAATCTCGCCCCGAGATGAAATATAGGCCCTTGATGTTCGTGATCGGCAACGTCGGCTTCCACCTCAGCGCCCCTATGTGCAGTTGTAGTGATGCTTCGCCGTGGGTGGGAAGTTTCGTACCGTCCACCGTTGTTGCCGCGAACTTGGTCTCCTCGGAAGGTTCTCCATTTTTCTTCAACGTCCCGCGGTCACACACCGAGTGAGATGCACCGCTGTCCACTAGCGCCTGGTGGCGTCGTCCTTTGCATAACACCTCGAGGAGTAGTGGTCTTGCTGCGCTGAGTAGCCAAAGAGGGTCTCATTGATAGGATCATAGGGTACATCAAAGATAGGGTATCATTCCTATTTCCTATACCTTGTTGAAATATATTTATATATGTTCTTCATTATTGTCTGCAGTGTAGAGCATGGCTTCTTAGCCTAAGCTAGGTTTCTAACATGGTATTCAGAGCTGTTCGTTCCTCGGGACGTTCTCCCCTCATGGGCCCACCGTTCACTTCCGCTGCTGTCCTGTCTGTCGCGCGCCCCGTGGCGCGCGGCGTTTTTTTTCTTCCCACCACGCACTCGGGACGCGTGGCGGTTTTCTGAGCGCGTGGCGGTTTCCTGCCCGCCGCGCGCCCCGGGAGCGCGCGGCGGTTTCGTCGCCCGTCGTGGCGCCCCTGGGGCCCGCGCGCTGTCCCCTCCCGTCGCCTGTCGTGGCGCTCTGGGGGCCTGCGTGTCGCCCCCCCTCCCGTCGCCCGCCGCGGCGCCCTAGGGGCCCGCGCGTCGCCCCCCCTCCCGTCGCCCGTCGTGGCGCCCTGGGGGCCCGCGCGTCGCCCCCTCCCGTCGCCCGTCGTGGCGCCCCGGGGGCCCGCGCGTTGCCCCCCCTCCCGTCGCCCGTCGTGGCGCCCCGAGGGCCCACGCGTCGCCCCATACCGTCGCCCGTCGAAGCGCCCCAGTGACCTGCGTGCCGCCCCTTGACCTCGTGCGCCGCGGGGCTGCCTCCCCCCCCCGCCCCTCCCCTTCTCCTTGCTCTCCCTCCTGCACGTGCAGCTATGGGGGTGGCGGGTATGGGGGTGGCGGGTGTGTGAGCCGTCCCCTGCTCCTCCTTCTCCTCCCTCTCCCACTGCTACAGCTGCCGCTGAGGGGGGTGGGTGTGTGGGAGCCGAGGGAGTGGCGCTAGGGGGGGTGCCGTGGGAGTGGAGCTAGGGGTGCATAGGGGGGTGTGTGAAATGTTATAGTCACAGTAGGCTCCAATGTGCCTAAAACGAAAGATAGAGTGCACAGTCGGATTTCTGCACAGCGGCTTCAAACGTTCATAGCGTTCTGGTCACAGCTTCAAATGACTTGATTCAACTTGGATCTGGAGCGTCTTATTGTCGCCTACACTAGGCAATTTAGATCGCACGATTTGACCAAGTATTGACGACACAGCGTCGGTTTGAACGAACGGCACTATGGTAGCCACTATAGTCTTAGAACACAAGATAGGAAGAGTTAGGGAGAGTTACGAGTTGGGAATGACTCCCAGCTCCTACAAACCCCAAGAGCCGAGGTACAGTGATGTGGAACAGTGCCACACTGTCCCCAACCATGAAGGGTCTCGAAACTACCCTTCACTAGGGCCTACACCAAGTGAAATGTTACACTACACAAAGTAATGTAACTATCTTCAATATCTTGGGGTGTACCCTTTTTTTTTTTTCGCGGGCTTCGCGATTACTTGAATGTTGACACCAGGGCTCGGGTTCTTCATCACAAACTCATCCTTGAGTTCTTGATGGGTCTGCTGCACACACCTGCGACACGCCGAACGTTCGACAAGCGACAAAATAGAAACCGCGCACGACAAAATAGAAACCACGCGGGACACACAAAACGACCACGTTACACGCGACTAGCGATAATTCGCTATTGACTTGACACACACACTTGACATCATGACCCATCATTCACACACTATTATAAGCATGAAATATATATTTATTTCATGCACTCATTCCATTCCATGCACACACGCATGCACGCACACGGACAACAAGCCGAGTGCAAACCGTAGGGTTGCACCAACATGAAAGGGGGTCTGCGACAGTGGGGGAGGGTTGAACGGAGGTAGCCGTTGTGGAGTCAGCAGTGCCAGTAGTCCGGGAAGGTTGTGTCCTTGCTCCGATAGCCAGTGAGCCCGTTGCGCCAGTTGCCCGTGGGTCCGTTGCTCCAGCCGCTCGTCGTAGCCGCGGAGTCAGTTACTCCCGTAGTCCGGTGCCGTCGAGCTCCGGTAGCCAGTGTGCCTGTTGCTCCAGTCGCCCGTGTGCCAGCAGCTTCAACCGCCACCTCCTATCTCCTCTCCTCCCACCGTTCCTCCTCCTCCTCATCACTTCGCCTCTTCTTCTACTGCGTCCTGCAGAGTGTACCACTTCAGGGGGTGTTCTACACATGGTTCTCACTGCAATCAATTAGGGGGTGTGTTGAAATATATTTATATATGTTCTTCATAATTGTTTGCAGTGTAGAGTGTAGCACATCCCATTTGCTGTAGGTGGTGCACCATGCTTCTCCTTGATATATCTTGTACTCATCTTTCTTAGTCAACCCCCCTCCTCTTTTGGCCAAATCATCTCTCTCGCTACCTTCAACACCCTAAACCCTAGCCATGGCTTCTTAGACTAAGCTAGGTTTCTAACATACCTGACTCAGCACTTTCCAAATTCACCTGGGGGGTAGGAGGATTTTCCCGAGGCTTGTACAACTTCTCATGAGCCTGGAATTTCCCTCTAAGCCTTTGCAGCCGTGTAGGCTTCACCCGTGGGCAACGGGGAGCCTTAACAGTGTTTTGCGGGGAGAGAATAGTAACTCCACGGAATGCACGACCCTTTTCTACGCTCTGTAGTACTTTGCCCAACTTCTCAGGTACCTGAATAATTTCTAAAGGCTTTTTCTTGGCCTCTAAATCTCCCCTGAATTTTTCAAAGGCTTGAAAACCACGAGAAGCAATATTTTTCGTTACAGAATCTTTATAGGATACTTTTAACGAATTCTTACTTTCGTGGGTGTTCGGCTGGAGTTTCCCGGTCGGTGCAGAGTCTTTTTTTGCGGAGCCTCCATTCGCCTCGGCGATTTCCCCTGATGCCGCCCGGTCGTGACGATTTTATTCGCGCCATCATTTTCTCCCTTTTTCACCCGCTCCGAAGTCGCCACGTCGTCGCCTTTTTTCGCTTTTTGGATCTTTACGCGATCGCCAGGTCGATCCGCGGCTACTGGCGATTCCCATTTTTTGACTTCGGGGGTGGTTCACTGTTGCGGCCCAGCATTGCCGCACGTGCCTTTTTCATTTTGTAGCACGACAAAATTTGATGCCCCGCTGCGCCGCAAAATTCGCATTTTGTCGGTTGCTCCTTCGCGTCAAATTTGTCGATCTCCATCGGTTCGGCGAACATGGGGGGTGCCGATCGCTCCGGGCCAAATGTACGGTTTGGCCCGTAACGTCGTGTTTCGGGTGGGCCTCCACCAACACAGCATATGAAGCCTCCCACACTTGTCATGTCCTCTGGTTCTGATGCATATGAAGCATCCGAGTAGGCGGTGAGGAACAAACGCCCGGGTTCAACACCATCCGCGCCCTTTTGGCGCCTTTGTGCCGCCGCCGAGTATTGCAGCCCAACGGTCGGTGTTTGGCCAAGATACTTGGCCACCCTCATCCCAGCTGCTACCTGCTCCTCATTAGGGCATTGCACAACCCTAGCCAGCTGCCCGGTAGCAAACGCGACGTCCGGTCGGGTGTTTACCGCCGCATACATGAGGCTGCCCACCAACGAGTGAAATCGGCGCCTCTCCTCTTCACCAACGCTCTCCTCCTCTGGTCCCTTCACACACTTGAACCCAGAGGGAAAGGGTGTAGCCACATGGCCTTCACTCTGCCCAAAGTTGGCAGCCAATGCCTCCAGGTACTTTCGTTGATGCACCCGCATGCACCGCTTCTCCACATCTCGTTCGATGTGGAGCCCAAGGTAGAAGCTCACGTCACCAAGGGCCTTGCACTTGAACTTGTCTTGAAGCTTCAGCATCACCTCCTTCACAAGGTCAGAAGAGGGTGAGAAAATGAGGATGTCATCCACATAAACCACCATGAAACTCCTCTGCTCTCCCTCGCCAAGCATGAACAAGGAGTGATCGGCCGTTGAGGGAGTGAAGCCGATCCCCTCCAACACTTCGCGCAGCTTCATGTACCATTGCCTAGGGGCCTGCTTCAGCCCATAGAGGGCCTTCTTCAGCTTCCACACTCTGCCACTACCATCATCAAACCCCTCTGGCTGCGCCATAAAAATCTCCTCCTCAAGGATGCCGTTAAGGAATGCCGTTACGATGTCCATTTGTTTTACTACCCATCCTTTGATGGCGGCTCCCGCGAATAGGGTTCGCAGCGTCGTCGGCTTCACCACAGGGGCAAACAGCTCCTTGAAGTCCACCTTCTCCTTCTGCTGGTACCCCTTGGCTACAAGCCTAGACTTGTAGCGCTCAATCTTGCCGTCGGCATCCGACTTGATTTTGAAGAGCCACTTGGACGTTATCGCCGTACGCCCCTCCGGTAGCTCCACCAATTCAAACGTGTCATTCTCCTCGATGCTCTTCAGCTCACTCTCCATGGCCTTCTTCCACTCCTCAGCATCACTACTCTCCAAAGCCTCCTTGAGAGTTGCTGGTTCTCCCGGCATCTCCACCGGAGAGAAGAACGCGAAGGCACACTCCTCGTAGTCACTCTCCTCGTCGTCTCCGACCATCATTGCCGCTCCGGCCAGGGCTGTCTTGCCCTGCTTTCCCGGCGCATCATAGGTCAGCCTATTAGGGGGTTGAACTCTCCTCTTCCCCCTTCCTTCCTCCTCAGCTGCAGGGACTTGAAGGCCTTGGCGTTGCTGCGGTGTGGCTCGAATCCGTGGAGCACTCGTAGTACGGGAAGGAAGTGACGGTGCACGCTCGCTCACTTGCTGCACCTCCTCCTCTTCTTCCTCTGCATCATTGGCCTCCTCTCCCCCATTCACAAGGGAGGATTGCCTTGTGGTTGTGCTGCCGCTGCTCAGTTCCAAAGGCAGCTCCACATGCTCCAAACCGGAACTCTTCACCTCCCCAAACCGCACGCCTATCTTCGCCTCATTCTCCGCCTTCCAATCCTTGTACATGAAGTTCTCCATGAACTTGCAGTCCCTGCTCACCAAGAACTTCTTGGTGAATGGGTCCCAAAGAAGCCATCCCTTGCTGTTTTGAGCCATGCCCAAGTGCACGGCCCACACCGCCTTGGCACCAAGCTTGTTGTGCCGAAGATGCTTAGGCACGAGCGCCATGCACATGCACCCGAACACCCGAAGCATATCCACCTTTGGCTTCCTTCCTAGCCACTCCACATAGGGCACCCATTTGTCTGCTCCCACATGAGTCAAGGCTCTGTTCTTGGCCACACACGCACTCCGCACCGCATCAGGCCAGAAATAGTCGGGTAGCCCGGCTTCAATGAGCAACCCGCGTGCCGCCTCCGTGATTGTGCGGTTCGCTCGCTCGGCGATGCCGTTCATTGCAGGGGAGTATGGCATGGTGAGGGAGTGCCGAATACCATTCTTCTTCAGCCACAACTCAAACTCCTTGCTCAGGAACTCTCCCCCTCGATCGGTGCGGATTGACTTGACTAGACGGTCTTGTTGCCGCTCCACCATCGGGAACCAATCCGTCTTCAACGTTTCAGCCACGTCGCTCTTCTTGGCCAGCACGTACACCCAAGTCATGCGGGTGTAGACGTCGACAATGGTGAGAAACTACTCAGCTCCAGCAGCTCCAAGCTTCAGGGGGCCCACCACGTCCATCACCACCTCATCAAGCGGTGCCTTTGCCGTTGCCTCCGAACTAGGGAACGGAAACCGGGTGAACTTGGCTTGAATGCACGTCGGGCAGCCAAGCACCTCATCGGGCTCCCCCTTCACACGTATGCCAGCAACCATCTCATTCTTCACTAGCTGCTGCAAGATGGGCAGGGCCACATGCCCCATGCGCCGATGCAAGGTGAGCCAATCACACTCCCCCGTAGCCGAAGTTGGATTGGAGAATGCCGCGCTCGCAATAGCGCCCCACATACTCTCTCCGTAGTCCTCCTCCGCTGCTGCCTCTGGGTTCTCCTCACCCTTTTGCTGCTCCTTGGTTGCTGCACCACTCTCCTTAGGTTCACTGAACTTGATGGTCCCTCCAGGTTTGCTCTTCTTGAGCTCATTCTCCTTAGCGCGACCGTTCGCGCCATCGTCGCTACCGACCGCTCCATCCTTGGTGCTGATGCTTGCTGCCACTTGCCTCTCCTTAGGCATAGGGACCACTGGGATCTGCCACATCTCGTTGTAGACATCCCTGTCCTCATGAAGGTCCCAAAGAATTCGATCGCCAAGCCTTGCGGTGTAGGTCTTGGCTCCCTTCGAGTTCGTGTCCATGCCGGCCTTTGCCAACCGCCGCACGGAAATCAGGTTTGCAGCAAGGCTGGGCACCCAAAGCACGTTCTTGAGGCCCACCATCTTCCCATCAGCACCCTTGAACATGGCCTTGCCCATGCGTTTCACCTCTGCTCGCTGCCCCAAAGCCGATGTGACATGCTTCACCGGTGACGGCTCGAGTTCGGTGAGCAAGTCCGGGCGAGGTGTCATGCTATAGGTAGCGCCACTATCAATCACCCAATAGTCCAGGGGGTGTAGGGTCACCTTCCCCACAGCTGCTGGCTCCTCAAAGCCTTCATCCTTCTCTGGACCAGCCGGTACTTGCGTCGACACGAAGTAGAATAGACCCGGGTATCGATCGTCGCTCGGGTCCTTGTCGTTGTCTCCGCTCTTCATGTTTGCAGCTCAGCCACCGCGACCGCCACGGCCTCCACGGCCTCGTCCTCTCCCTCCTCCTGCTCCTCTACCCTCTTGGCCTTGAGCAGGGGTCCAACCATCAGGGAGTTTGTAGCAGTCGCGCCACATGTGTCCGCTCTTGTGGCAATAGTGACACTCGCCGTCGAATCGGCCGCGACCGCGTCCGTAGCTCTTGTCGTCGCTGCCGTAACCGCCACTCCTGCGGCCTTCGCCGAAGTTGCTGCCACCAAACCTTCCTCCCCCTCGTCCTCTGCCTCTTCCTCGACCATATCCACGGCCGATGCTCGCTGCCCCAGCGCCATCCGCACTCGCCAACTCACGGCGGCGGAAATCCTCTTGAAGGATAGCTCGCTTCACGTCTTCAAGCGAGAGGCGGGGCAAGTCGCGATTAAGGTTGATGATGAGCGAGGACCATGACTCTGGGAGTAAGGCCAGCAACTTGGTCTTCTTTTGGAGCTCACTGTAGTTCAAATCAGCTCCCTCAAGCCGCGTCAACAAGTCGAAGAATTTCTGCACCCCTTCTTCAACCGCTTCGTTTTCTTCAATTCGTAGTGCCGCCATTTGCCGTTCCAACACCACCGCTACCGCCGCTGTTGCAGGAGCATGTACACCCTTGAGAGCAGCCCATGCCTTTGGTCCTTTCTCTGGTTCACGCTGGAATGGCTTGATGTGACGGATCTGACTGCTCCCCAACGCTTGCCCAAGTAAGAGATAGCCTTGTGCGCTCTTCCGCACCCACGGGCTCTTCTCCGGGTCGTTCTCGGGGCGCTTCTCCGTTCCTTCCATCACCTCCAGCAGGTCATAGTGGTCAAAGATGTTCTCCATCTTGAAGGACCATTCAGCAAAGTTGTCACCGTTGAACTTGTCAAGCCCAAACACCCTAGGCTCATCCCTAGGTGGGCCAAGACTTGGTTGCATGGGCGCCATGGCTGAATCACGGGGTTGGCCTTGAGCTTGAGCTTCTCCACTGCCACCAGCACCTCTGCCACCCCTTTCCTCAGGTCCAGACATTGTCGAAACTGCTCCAAGGGGCTCTGATACCACTTGTTATAGTCACAATAGGCTTGAATGTGCCTAAAACGAAAGATAGAGAGCACAGACGGATTTCTGCACAGCGGCTTCAAACGTTGATAGCGTTCTGCTGACAGCTGCAAATGACTTGATTCAAATTGGATCTGGAGCGTCGTCACGTCGTCTAGAATTATCAATTTAGATTGCACGATTTGATAAAGAATTGACGACACAGCGTTGGTTTGAACGAACGGTACTATGGCAGCCACTATAGTCTTAGAACACAAGATAGGAAGAGTTACGAGTTGGGAATGACTCCCAGCTCCTACAAACCCCAAGAGCCGAGGTACAGTGATGTGGAACAGTGCCACACTGTCCCCAACCACGAAGGGTCTCGAAACTACCCTTCACTAGGGCCTACACCAAGTGAAATGTTACACTACACAAAGTAATGTAACTATCTTCAATATCTTGAGGTGCACCCTTTTGGCGAGCTTCGAAATCACTTGAGGCTTGACACCAAGGCTCGGGCTCTTCATCACAAACTCATCCTTGAGTTCTTGATGGGTCTGCTGCACACACCTGCGACACGCTGAACGTTCGACACAGGACAAAATAGAAACCGCGCACGACAAAATAGAAACCGCGCGCGAGACACAAACGACCGCGTAACACGCGTCTAGCGATAACTCGCTATTGACTCGACACACACACTCGACATCATGACTCAACATTCACACACAATTATAAGCATGAAATATATATTATCCCATGCCCTCATACCATTCCATACACACACACATTCATGCACACGGACAACAAGCCGAGTGCAAACCGTAGGGTTGCACCAACACCCGCCACCCTCGGGTTCGCGACCCCGTCTCCTCCCGTCCCCATCCCGTCGCCTCCCCGCGCCTTGTGCCCGCCGCCCCACCTGAAACCAGCCGCTAGAAACATCCCAGCAGCGCCAGTAGCCGCTAGAACCGGGCTAGCAGTGCCAGCAGCCGCTCGAACCGTGCTAGCAGCGCCAGCAGCCGCTCGAACCGTGCTAGCAGCGCCAGCAGCCTCTAGAACTGTGCTAGCAGCGCCAGCAGCCGCTAGAACCGTGCTAGCAGTGCCAGCAACTGCTAGGAACGCCCCGGCAGCGGCAGCAACTGCTAGGAACGCCCCAGCAGTGCCAACAGCTACTAGAAACGCTCCAACAGCCCCACCTGTCCCGCCCCACCCTGGGCCCGCCGCCCCACCCTGTACCAGCCGCCCTAACCTACGCCCAAAACCGCCCAGAACCGCCCAGAACCGCTCAGAACCGCCCAGAACCGCCCAGAACCGCTCAAAACCGCCCAGAACCGCCCAGGGCCGCCCAAAACGGGCCAGAACCGTCCAGAACTGTCCAAAACCGCCCAGAACCGCCCAAAACCGCCCAGAACCACTCCCCACCGCTCTAGACCTGCAAGAACCAGTAGAAGCTTAGGTTGCCACCAGAACCAGCAGCAGCTTGGACTGCCACCAGAACCAGCAGCAGCATAGGCTGCCCCCTACAGAACCAGCAGCAGCGTAGCCTGCCCCCAGCAGCACCAGCAACATCATAGGCTGCCCCCAGCAGAACCAGCAGCAGCATTGGCTGCCCCCAGCAGCACCAGCAGCAGCATAGGGTGCAGCAACCGCTCCTAGCTGCTCCCAATTGCGCTCGGCCGTCTCTAGTGCCTACTATGGCGTGTGCTAGAGTTCTGCAGCAGCAGCAGGGTCAGCCGCAGCGACAACAACTACAGCACTCCCGGCAGTGGGGACCTGAGGGTCCTAGGAGTACCAGCCGCAGCGTCAGCCAGTAGTGGGCGTGACGTCAGTCCCTGCGGGTACCGGATCCTAACTGGCCTGGGCGCTGGCACCACCTGCTGGAGTCGTGACCACCCTGCATCCCGCTGCTACCGTCGCCTCGACGACCTCCACCGTGAGCGTTTTGGACCTCACGCTATTACATCGCACTGGCCCTAGCGTCTTTGCCAGCGCACTGCCTCACCAGTTGAGTCTCACCTGCCTGGTCTAGGACCTTTTTCCGCTGCACGACTAGAGACCTGTGTTTCCAGTCTTGGTGCGTGTGTAGTTTCCAGTACAGGCACCTCTGAGGGCCTTTGTGTGGGAGTTGCAGCTACCACTAGTCTAGCACTAGCCTTTGTCGCTGGCTTGGGTGCGACCTCACGCCACTGCGCACTCCAGTCACTGTCGCCTTGGCTGACCCCTCCGTGGGACCTGTAGTTGCCCACAACACCACCACTCTCCCATGTCCGGCGGCTCCTTCTGGGTTTCTCACAGGTTATTACACCCCCTCATTCTCCATGAATCGGGTGGGTGTCAGTCACCTCCACAACCTAGGTGTAGTCACTACTTTCCTACTGGACGAGCCTGTTGCCTCCTGCACAGTCGGTGCCACTGGGGCGTTTCTGGCCACTTTCCACAGGGAGCCAGGCTCTGGTCTGTACTCACTACACACTGGGTCCCACCACACTGGATCAGGCCAGGTTAGGTCAGGTCAGGTAGCTGCTGTGTCGTGCGATTGTCGGTCCCTCACCCACCCGTCGGTCCTCTGGCACCATCGTCTAGGTCACCCGTCGTTCACACGTCTCAGTAGGATGGTACGTCACCGTCTGGGCTCCGCCTACACTCAGACCGTGGTGGTGAGTTTTCTTCCTCTCGCTTGGAGACGTTCTGTCAGGGTCGGGGGATCGTTCAGTCTTACATGCTACCAGCCTTGCTGTAGCAGAACAGGGTAGCCGAGCGACGCATCGGCCTAGTCATGGAGGTTGCCCGGACCTCCATGTGCCATGATGGTGCCCCCCAGTTCCCGTGGCCTCAGGCAGTCCGCTACGCCGCGCACCAGCTGAACC